ATAGACAGGGAAAGGAAGACACTGGGAGTTTTTCAAACGCAAGGCTGTCTTAAAGTGAGTTATGTTTTGGAAGGTCAAGGAAAACAGCAAGGGGGAAGCTAGCAAACCAACCCATGCTTTAAAACTGAGGGAATGAAATGGCATCCTGCAGAACCTAAAGTGTATGGGACATAGGGAAATCTCACCCCTTCCAGGTTTGTGCGGCAGTCTTGACTCCCAGTACAGCCAGGCTTCTGTCTCTGCTCTGAAGGGGGGACTGAAATGTCCAGAAACCTGGGACTGGTCCCAGGGAAAGGGAGAGGAGACAACTGTACTTCATAGGAAATGTAAAAAGCATATAGCTGGCCAGATGTGCTTAAAAAGCTTAGGAACGCAGCTGAGGGAGGTAAAGCCTGTGCACTGGGCACAGTCACTTCTGACAAGCACGGCCTGCCAGGAACACAGTATTGCTCGGGGCAAGCAGTTATATGGCTGGGTGGTGTGCTGCTCTGGCAGACTGTGTCACTTGGCACACATCTGGCTGACACAGCTGGATCACTTCACTCAGGTGTTTTATTTTAGTTCCTGGCATAACAATGGCAAGCCACACACAATCATTGAAACCACTCTCCCATGCAGCCCCGTTGAGCTTGCTGATGAACGCTTTACACGCAGCACATGGAGGCACCATCTCCAACCATCCGCTCAGCCCTCTCTGCTGCGAATGCAGCTTCAGCACACAGGGTCTAGATAAACTCAAAAGATCCAAGGTTAAGTGGGAAATAGAAACCCAGTGACCCCTATCTGGGCAAGTGAGCTTAATGACTTGTCTTCTGCTGTATGTACCAAACATATGCTAGCAAAGATCTGTCTGAGCAGCCCCTCCAAAATAAATGATTGATGGAAGTGATTTGCCTCTAAAAACGGGATAAGTCAGCTGGGAGTCCTGCTAGAAAAGGGTTAATGGGATATATGAATTGCTAGTGAGTGGAAGGGAGAGGGGAGAAGCCTGAGTCAGAGGCAACACCCCCTGTTAGGTGTTTACCATGTCGAATCTAAACCGCTTCCATTGCATATGCAAGGCAGATGAATTACTCTGTAAATCCTATTACTCTGTGTGGATAAATCTTACATTCGAGTTAACAAGTCTGGAGAGCTGGGGAATGGAAGCTGCTGAATGGATATTCCAGGATCAAAACAACCAAGCACACGAGAGCGGAGAGAAGCGATACCAGCACACACACACACACACACACACACATCCCTCTTCTAGCATCCTTCTTCCTTGATCCCATCTTGCTAGCTCACACATTCCTCTGTCATTAAATGGGAGGGATGCAGGACACGGAGGGATCATGTAGCAGACGATTTGGTAACATCCAGCAGGATTTATTTCAGAGAAAGAGAAAGAAAACTTTGCTACCACTGTTAGCTTTGCTAGCGGATTGCTCCCTTGATGCTTCAGGGTTTGTGCACTATCAGCTCCTCATACACATCACAGACTTATTTTAAATTACACCCAGTAGTTTTATAGCCATAATATGCAGTGTGTGCACACATTCACACACGTAGAATTTTCCTACAGTGGGGAAGCTACTGCAGGTAAGTTGAGCAAGGCAGAATTTGAAAAAGAAACCCACAGGAAAGACTACTGCAACTTAGCTATTTGGGATGCTCCAAACTGAAAACTCAAGAGTGTCAGAAATACCTTTAGAAAACTTGCATAATGAAAACAGAAATGTAATGCTCAATACTGCCCATGAGCAAGGTTTCACATGCAAAGACACCCTGATCACAACCAGATGCACAGGCAGAGCATACACCCATTTACTTAGCCCTGCAAAAGAAGCAACACACTGAATAATATACAAGCTTTGTAAATGTCAGAGTTCTTATACCCTTTTTTTCCACCAGCCTTTTCAACTATTGTATCCATCTTCCCTTCCCACAGGGCAGAAAATAAATAAATAAAATTAAAAAGACAGAGTTCCCCAAAAGAACTTGCCCGCGAGTTCTGGCAGCACCAGGGATAAAGTTTTTGCATATATACAAAAAGAAGCATGGGAAGATCAATGGAACATCTGGCAAGCACAGCTGGATTCCTTTTCGATTTCTCTATTGATACTGCAGGGCTGGTGGAAAGTGTACGTTCACAAGAGCTGGCTAACACAAGCAGATCTTCCCCCACTGAAATTCTTTTGATCCAGAGCACTACACAGAGGAGAGTGGTGGCAAGAAGTGTTCAAAAGCTTTGCCATTTTTTCATATTAAAGCACAAACACACACGCAGAGCTTGTTTGTAGCAGCTGCTGCTACTGCAGTTTGAGAGGTAAAATAATAAACACTCACAGAGACATATACACACAAATCTGTACCGTGTCACATGTATACGTTGCATACACAGAAATACAGATACACAGATGAGGAAAAGTTGGCAAAATGCCCTACCTGAGGATTGCTGTATCCCCTTGCCTCACGGTGATGTTATCGGTACCTCGGGTAAAATCCACGCTGCGGACTGGCAGCCCTGTAGGGAGAAGGCAAAGCAATCTCAGTAGGACCAGCGGTAATTGTTTCCGATCAGGCTGAGCCCTTGCTACCATGGCTGGTCTCGTCGAGTTTCACTGTCTGTACTTGTCTCTTTCTCTGCCTGTGTATGTGGACAGATGGATGTAGAAAGAAAAACAATAATAATAATGTACAACTCTTGCTCTGATCGACAGCCCCTGAAAGGGGAGGTGATTTCACAGTCCTTCTTAGCTGCCACTTTCTCTTGCTCTTTTCAGTCTCTTGCTGGCTTCTTTCCCCCCCTTGTCTTTTTATTTATTTTTTTTTGAGGCTTTCAAAAAAAAAAAAAGTCCTAGCACAGCCTTCAACCATAAAAGGAGGAAAAAAAAAAGAAGAAAGAAGCAAGAGGAAAAAGTCAGGTAGCAAAATAATTACAAAATAATAACAATTAAATCGACCCGTTTAGAGTGGTGAAGAGAGGTGGAAAAAAAAAAAAAAGGAAAAGGAACAAGAGGAGTCCTGTGCCGCCGGGCTGCGGGAGGGGATGGTCCTGTGGCTGTGCAGCCTCCAGCCCCGCGCTCCCTCCTAACCCACTTTCCCAGGCGGAGCGAGGGAGGAGGAGGAGGAGGAGAGGAGAGAGAGG